GTTTATTGGTCCAGTGGTGAGGATTTTTGTTTTCTTGACATTGAGATGCAATCCATACCGAAGGCTGTGCTCTTTGATCTTCATCAGTAAAGTCCTCTTCACTTTCAGCAAGCAAGGTTGTATTAACTGCATATTGCAGGTTGTTAAATGAGTCCTCCAATCCTGATGCCACGTTTTTCTTCATAGAACCCAGCTTCTCGTATTATTTGCTCAGCATACACAGGTTGAATAAGTACGGTGAAAGAATACAACCTTGTCGCACACCTTTCTTAATTTTAAAACATACATGTTCCCATGCTCTGTTTGAACAACTGCTTCTTGGTCCAGGTACAGATTCCTCATGAGTCCTCTGGTAGCTCAACTGAATCCTGTCCACCGTGGGTGACCCTGCTGGTATTTAAAATACTAGTGGCGTAGCTTCCAGAATCACAGCAACTGACAAGCCACCACAGTACAACAAACTGACAGACGAGTGGTAGGGATTTGGAATAGTCTAGTATTTAGTCATTCTGGTGTGACAAGGGGAGCTAGTGTGGTAGAGAGCAGGTTGCCATTCCTTCTGGACTCTCTGCAGGGTCAGGTCAGGGTTGTCACAAGGCACCTGCTTTTTCCCACTGCCCCAGCAGGGTCAGCACGAATTGGCCTCAGGTGGAGGGGCCTTCATGGTTACCTCTGTATTGATTGATACACAGGGAAAAAGAAGCCAGGGAGAGTGGAGGCTCCTGACCTGATTTTTCCTGCCAATGAATAGACTTTTTTCTTTTTGTTTCCTAGACGAAAGCAGCATATGTGCTATTTTACCAACGTCGAGATGATGAGTTTTATAAGACACCTTCAGTCATCAATTTTCCGGGTTCCTCTGATGGAGGGACCAGACCAAGCAGTTCCCAGCAGGGCTTGGAGGATGATGAGGCTTGCAGCATGGACACCAACTGACACTGCCTCAGTGACCCTATCATCCCACAGCACAGTGTAATTCCCCAGGAGAACATCTTTGGCACTCTGAAGACTGCTGTTCAATCTAAAAACCAGATGAAATTCCCTTCTTTGATGGAGTGGGGGGAAAAAAAACAAAAACAAAACAGTTTGTTCATAAGGCTTACATCAAGAGACTGAATTATTACTAGTTTTTAAACAGGTGGTCAGAGATTTCTGTAAAACCTGTGGGGCTGTAGGTGGAGGGTGTGGGGGGGGGGCACAATGTGTATGTCCAGTGGAGTTCAGAGAGTGGCCAGGAACACATAACAGTGTGGCGCAGCCATGAAGACCTGCTGCAGGGCCATCATGAGTGTGGGATTTCTGGTTTTGTGCCATTTACTGGTCACTGATAGTCTGCTCACAGTAAACTGAGCACTCAAGTAAATGACATTGCCCTCTTCTCCCTTGCTTTGCACTGAGATGGTTTTATAAATTTACTAAGCTTTAGCCACGGAAGCTCATTCATTCCTGTATCTCTTCTGAGTCACTTGGAATTACCAGCTTTCTTCCTTAGATGCTTAGTGTTGGAGCCTCCTGCCCCTCCACTACATGTGGAGTCTAGCAGTTTCCTACGCCCTTCACCAACCTAGGTGAACTGATAGCGCCTAAGGAAACAAATACAAAACTGGAAGATTGTGCCCTGCCCCACTCATCTCCCCATGCTGATTTGAAGCCAATTTTTGCCCAGAAGTAAGAGCTGGAGCCAGCTTACCCCACGGGTCCCGAGCTCTCTGCCGACACTGCGCGCTGGCTCCCCCTCCTGGCGGCGCGGGTATACAGAACTTCGGCTGCACAGGATTTTTATCTAACCTTTAACCCCGGCCATGGGGGTGGGGGCGCGCGTCATGACCGTTGGTCCGGCCGGGAAGTGTCCAGCTCGCTGCCGACGGACATGGCTTCCTGGCTCCATACGGCAGGGTGGCGCGGGGGTGCTGGGCGGGGCTGGAAGTGAGGGCTTGGCCGCCGTCCCGAGGCTCTTCCCGCCGGATCACGGACTTCTCCCGAAGGTTCTCTGGCAGCAGAGGAGACAATAACCAGGTGTGGGGTCCCCCGCCCTCTGGCTTGTATGTAGAGCGCTTGGTTAGGCTCAAGAAAATTGCCAGTGCCCCTTTCCCGGGGTGGTTTGCCAGTTCATCTGAGGTTGCCATTCTGTTGTCTGTGCATTTCTAATGCATTACATAACAGAAACACGGTCCCTTTTAGGGAAATGTCTGAAAAACTAAGAAGATGCAGAAAGGAGCTGACCGCAGCCATTGATCGGGCCTTTGAAGGAGTCAGTCTTTCCCTGGAGTGCCCGGGTCCCCAGAGGCCAGAGCTGGACGCTGCGCCACCCTCCTTCTCCCTCCCGATGCAGCAGCTCCTCTGCCGGAGACATTCGCTTACCACCTGCTCTGTAGCGCCCTTTGCTCCAGCCCAAAGTGCTGCCGAGAGCGAGATCCCTGTCTTTGCACCAAACCATGCCCTAATCAATACAAAACCACATGTTTTCTGCCCGAAAAGAAAACCTCTGAGCAGCAAGGAAAACGTTTTGATGCATTCCTCCATTTTGGCACCTGAAAGACAATTTTGGAGAGCTGCAGATGGGGAAAACTGGAAAAAAGAAAGTTTAAGGTGATTATCATCTGATAGTTTAAAAGTTACCACCATGAATTCTTGTTTCTGAAAATATTGAAGAGTCTAGACTTGTCTATTACACTGTTCTTACCTCCTTGGGGTAGTTAGTACTAAGATGACATTTGGAAAGCTCATATAGTCTTCAGAATCAGGCTTCAAAGTAGTTAATTTTGTGTGTGTATGTTTTTAAGGGGTGGGTGTTGTCAATGCTGGATGTCAAGCAAGTCATAGGATCCACTTTCCAGAACTTGAGGGTAGTGAACTGTTGAAACATGGTTTTTCTGTAATCTTATTTTTTATGCTGCAGAAACAAAAGTCTTAATTTCAGTGCCTGAGTCCCAAAGTGGACAGGTTGCACTTTCCTGGATACATTCTTGCCTCTGTCCCTGCTTGCTCCCCAGATGTTTATACCATTCCTGGGTTAAGGCCTCTTCCAGAACTTTTCTCCTCCAGGTAACTTCAATCTGTTTGGCCTCTAACATCATCCTTTAGGAATAAAATTTTGGTCCTGCTATTTTGACTATAGGAGTCAGGGAAGAGTCCTGGCATTGTGGGTTAATATGTTCACAATTGCAAGGTCGGTTTGAACAGTAAGGTTGACTGTTCAAACTCACTATCTGTTCCCAGGGACCCTGTACAGGGTTGCTATGGATCGGAGCCAACTTGATGGCACTTACCAACATCATAATAATGGGTATGAAGAGGCTCAACTCTAAATATTTATCGTGATTATAGACACTAATGCACAGTTGATGATGCTCATGAGTCATTATGATGATACTATTAGTCCATTTCTTCACCGAGTTAGTTTGATTGGCATCTAATTATAGCATAAATGACAAGTTTTTGTCCTTAAAATTCATCTAACAAACACTGAGTTCCCCTTCAATAGTTTCTTCTAAGAAGATCTAATTCCCCACCTTTTCCTCTTTCCCCCACCTGGGGCTACAGGAAAGATATGGAGAGAGATTTGAAGGTTGACTCAAACATGCTATTCAACAATTCTAGTCAAGAAGTCACAAAGGATCTGCTTGATATGATCGGTAAGTACAGAAGTTATCTCCTTTCAATGATGGGCCACTCACACTAGCTCCTGGGTGAGCAAATGTCTTAGATAAGCAGCCATGCCTTTATTCGTCATTCATTCCGCAGATTTGTTTTGCTTACAGTAGGCAGAACCAGCCCAGTGATTGCCCTCACAGAGCTGGCAGCCTGGTGGAAGCCACAGTAGTCAGATCATTTCATAAATGTCTAGTTACAGGGAAGCCCACAGGAAAGGGATAGCGGCCCAAGGACATAGTGGTTCAGCTTACAACTGAAGAAAGTAAGAGATAGGTAAAGAAGAAGAGAGAGCAGTCCAGCGAAGTAAGGTGAATGCAATTCATAAGTAAAATTAGAAGCCGAAAGCTCCCCTATAAATTCACCACCCTGAGATAGCAGCTGTGAACATAGCCTTGTGCATCTTGTCAGACATTTTGTTTTACACAACATACCTGTATATTCTGTGTGTGAACTGTTTTTAAATGGCTCACTCAATAATATAGTGGACAAACAGCTTCCTACAAGGGTTCTTCAAAATGTTTGTGGAAAAATAATTTTTTCCATTTTGAATTGAGTGATAGTTTGCATTCCGGATAACATTGGTTTTACACTCGTTTCATTGCAACGATTACAATCTCCTCTGTGCATTATCATTCAACAGAATTACATTATCTTTTAATTCTACTTTTCTGCAAACTTGGAAGCCCCCTCCTAGTTAAGGAATGTATAGCCTTGAGTGCTGCTCAGACTGTTGGCCCTGAGGGGCCTCCCAGTTATGGGGGATAAAAAGGAAGCCCAGTGAGGGCAGGTATTCACCCTAGACCACAAAGTAAAAACCATGACAGCCCATTACTCAAGTAGACTGAATCCTCCATTACCCTGGAAATCATTATGCCTCTTCCCACTACCTTCCACAGCTTTCACTAGTGCCAGGCAGCACTTAGGTTACCGTGTGACTATCATATCATATCACGCCTTCTTATCCCTGCATATCAGCAAGTTCCCAGTGAGCCAGGCCAAGCACATGTAGCATTGTGCCTGCTAACATGTTCCTTGGGGGCTGGCAAATAGTTGAAATTCAATCAATGGTGGGCCAAACAGTAGGGCACCACCTGCACCATAACCATAGTGTGGCTTCTCTGTGGGCTTGCCTGTTACAGGCAGGAATACTGCCTAGCTTTGCACAGTACCTGAAGAGTGACCACCCATAACCCATAACATGGTTTTTAACTTGTGCCTGAAATGTCTTTCTGAAACCTCACTGAATATTCTTATCTTTTAAGACCATACAAGCATCCGAACTATTGAAGAATTGGCTGGAAAACTGGAATTTGAAAATGAATTGAACCGCATGTGTGGCCACTGCGATGACTTACCCTTCAAGGAGGAAGCCTGGGCCCTGTTTGTGGACGAGAGCCCTCTGAAGGCCTTGGATGTTGACCTTGGTGGTCTCAAGCAGGTTTTTGATGATCGTAATATCGTTGACACTGTTCTGGATTTAGAAGAGGACTACAATCTGTTGACCTCTTTTAAATACCAAATTGAGTAGGACAGTTGATTTTAGCTCTGATGGCAAGGCTGACATTCGGAACCTGCACAGAAGCAGCCATGGTAGTCATCAGGCCATATTTTTCAGAAGATTGGCAGAATCTGAATACCATACCATTTTAAACTTCCAGCTGTGTCCATTTTTGAACTGAGATGCCAGTTTTTGTATTCTGTTGCTTTGGAATGTTTCTTATTGTTAATTATTATTATTATTATTATTTTAACGTTTCTTGACATCTTGAATGTACTTAAAAAATTTTCTACGTATGTTCAATAGACCCAGCACCTAAAGCAAGTGTGGGTGATTGGGCCTCTGCTGTGTTTTTCTTGTTCTTTTCCACAGGCCCCAACATAGTGGGATTCCCTCTACCCCTAGGACCAGCTGAGCCTGCACAGAGAAACTCGGATCCAACTGGGCATTGGCTCTAGGCTCTCTGCCACCCTTGTAAACGGGCTCCCCTGGGACTCCCTGCTTCTGCATGGACCCTGTCTTAGTTAGCTAGTGCTGCTAGACAGACAAGGAAGAGCCTTTTCTCTTTGTGTTTCTGCTCCTGGTCGATCTTCATGAGTTTGGTATCTCTCTTCCATTTCTGCTGCTGTCACTTGCTTGTTAAACTCCTTTTTATGTCTCTTAAGAATGATTTGGGACACACAGTACACTATTCCTGTCTCATTAACAACAAAGTTAACCCATTTTCAAATGGGATTATAATCACAGGCATAGAGATTATAATTCACAACACATACTTTTTTGGGAAATAAGTGAATCAGTAACAGGTTCCATGCCCTCCTCTTGCCCAGATGTACTTCCCTCAGTGACCTCATCCAGGTCCCTGCCTAGCTCATAGACCTTTGCAGGTCTCCTGGTTGAGTCAGAAAGGCAGGCAGCATCCTTGTTCCTCTCCTGACATGACAGTCCATGAGACTTCCCTGTCCCATACCACCTGCTCCTCCTCACACTGTGACTCAAGAAACTTGGATTCTCAGTAGACGGATGGGGAGGGCAGGTTCACATCCACCTTCATACCCAGGTACCACCCCCATCCCACTCCCAAGACTTGGAGACCTTGGGAGACCACAGGGGCTTCCACTGTAAACCAGCAGGGAGTGAGTGAGGGGCCAACCAGGCCATCGCACTTCTGAGATCAGGCATAGTAACAAAAGCTTAGCAGAACTGGCTTTAGACTTACCTTTAGAAGGCTCTCTAGATATTATGTGGATACAGCTCTCAAAAAATGATCTTTTTGGAAACCTAAGAAGCTGCTGGGCAAGGCTTGGTACTTCTCAGAAATCAAATCCAAGAGAGAAGTGTTCAACTCCTGGACTCAGGGGAGGATAAAAGAGGCTAGCACAGGGACTGTTCTCAAGACCCAAAGTCAGACCAAACCAAAAAGCTGGGAAAGATACTTCCTATCTCCAGGGCTCAGTGGCCAAGAGACCCAATCCCTAGGGACATCTGCTAAGGAGGTCTGCCTTGGAGGGCTACAGAGTTAGTAATGCCTCTGTCTCAGGTGTTATGATTCCTCTGGACTATGTATAAGTCCTTGTCAGAGTTAGGTCCAGCTCAGCAGAGCCATGGCCCCAAGGATGATGGTTGGGCCAGGCCATTATGGGTCTCCCCATCCTATGTACCTCAGTGTGGCACCACCATTGCTCTGCCTGGAGGAGGAGAAAGGGACCTCAGCCCCTCCAGAACTATCCACCACTCAGCCCTTTTTGGAGGTGTTACCCTCCATATCCTTCATAAGCAACCACATTTGTTGGAGTTGAAGGCTGGATTTCTTTTCCTTGAAGAGGAGCTAATAAGGAAATGCTCTCAGTATCCGGCCACCACCACTGTCCCCACTCAGGTGGAGAATGGGCTAGCTGTCTGGATTGATAGACGTTGGGTTACTTGATATTAACCCAACCCACCACCATGGAGTCTAAATATTTAGACTCTTAGCAACCCTATAGAATGGAGTAGATAGAACCGCCCCATAGAATTTCCAAGGAACCGCCCCATAGAATTTCCAAGGCATGTCTTAAGCAGTACATTCTAAATAATGCATGTCAATTCTCACAGAAGGTAGAGCTTAACACCCATCCCTCCCATACACATCTCCTCATCCCAACCCACTGAGGGTAAGCTAGATGTAATTTGCTTCCACACACTAGCGTACAAAAAGGAGAAAATAAATTTACAGTGCAGAAGCCTCACAAAGACCCCTGTAACCAAGTGATGAAGTCCCATATTATCATGTGATAGGATGTGATGATAAGGAACTTCATCTTGGTAGTATTCTCTCACCCAAAACCTACAACCCCGGTCTAATTGTTAGACAAACACAGACTGGGGACATTCTATAGTCTACCTGGCTAGTACTCAAGATTACCAAGGTTATGAAAAACAAAACTCAGAAACTACAGGACTAGAAGAGACTAAGATGACACAGTGACTAATGTGTTGTCCTGGATTGGATTTTGGAACAGAAAGAGGACATTAATGGAAAAACTGGGGCGGCATTTAGCCAAGAACAAAGTATAGAAAGGTTAGGGGGAAAGGAGGACTGGAAACACAGGGAGGAAGTGGGATAAGTGATGTTACATTGTAAGGATTGCAATTAATGTTATGAAACAAAATGCATATGAATTAGTGAATGGAAAACTGATGATCTGTTCTGTAAACTTTCAGCAATACACAATATAAAGTAAAAATATAAGTGTTAACTTCATATAAAGTCTAAAATTAAGTTTATAGCAATATATAATTTCTTAGTTTTGACAAATGTACCATAGTAATGTCAGGTGTTAACATTAGAATCTGAGTGAAGGATATATAAGAATTCTCATTACCTTTGCAACTTTTCTGTAAATCTAAAATTCTAAAATAAAAAATGTATTTAATACAAAGGGAAAGTGCAATTGATCCTGTTTGAGAAAATGTGTATGCAGGAAACTAGTTACACGAGGATGGTAGTTATAGGTATTTTTTCCTTACATTTTCTGATATGTCGTGGACATGGATCATTTCTATAAAAAGAATTTAAAGTTGCTGAGTTGTTTTTTTAAAAACCCTCATCGTTACCAACTACCCATAAAAATCTCTGAGGGACCAGCTTTGGGGAGTGCAAGGTAGGGTACAGGAGCCCTGGTGTGGCGCTGTGTGTAATGCGCTACACTGCAAGATCGGTTTGAACCACAAGGTCGGTGGTTCAAGCTCACCAGCCGCTCCTTGGAAATCCTCTACAGGGTTGCAATGAGTTGGAACCGACTTGATGGCATTTAACAACAACAGGCAGGGCCCAACAGGGGTCAGTGTTGTCCTGAGGATGGTGGATCCTCAGGGACCAGATGCCTTAGGCCTCAGAGCTGTTTCTCTAGATCTCAGGCACAGGACAGAGAGGCTTTCCAGAGGGAATAGCTGCTGTGACTGCATCTAATCCCAAACCTGGAAGAAAGACTTGGAGAAAATTGCTTGTGCCTGGGGTTGAGACTGTGGCTCTTGGCAATGAGGCCAAAGCACAGAGGATTGGGAGGAGGGTTTAGGCTCTTCTTGGTGGGACAGACTGTTAGTCTGTTTAGCAAAGCCTTTATGTGTAAATTCAGATTTAGGAAACATCCTGGAATCCTTGAATGAGCTTTTCCTCTCTGTAGAAACACAGCTGTTCTAGAAAGCAGATGAGGCTTGAGCTTTTGGCATGCCAGGCCCAGATTAGCTGGGCCTGTCCTTCCCTGGCTTCCTATGCTGCCTCAGGGAGACCTTTCCACTTTTGTCATCTGTGGCAGTGTGGCAGTGGATGTGTGCATTTGTCTGCTCACAGCAGGGTCTTGAGGAATGGGGACTGAGCTGTAGGGGGGGAACAGGAGCCTAGAATATCTCCATATTTGAATAAAACACTCCTATAGGAGCTCTGGTAGCGTAGTGGTTACGAATCGGGCTGCGAACCGGAAGGTCAGCAGTTCGAAACTACCAGCTGCTCCGCGGGAGAAAGATGAGGCGATCTGCTCCTGTAACGAGTTACAGCCTCGGAAACCCTATTCAGGGTCGCTATGGGTCGAAACCGACTCGACGGCACTTAACAACAACAACATATTTGCAGAAAGCTGGACCAGGGAGTTGGAGAGATGATAGTTTGGCTTGGTAATGTCTGGAAAACTTTATAAATGTTTTACGTCATTTGTTTCTTTCCCCTGCAGTTCATCTTAGCAAGCAAAACAATCACTGAATTGTTTCTGTGGAAACACCAAACTGCAATTTGGATTTAGCAGAATCAAAATAGAAGCAAGGCAGATTCAAGAATAAATAGAAGATTTAGAGACTGCTGGTTGCAAACTGCAAATTTGAGCTACTGCATGGAGTATGGAGAAGTGGGCCCAGCCATCCCTAATGGGCCCATGGCCACATCCAAAGCTACTAGAAATCAGCTCTGTCTATAGTAGGTTTTGGAACAAAGGACAAGAATTTAGACCATAGAAGCTTCCAGGAGAGGCTGAGGGAAAGGACAAGGGACTAGAAGGGAAGGTTGAAGAAGTAGTGACAGGAAGAAGGAGGAGAGGCTATGAGTGAAAGGCAGAATGAAGTCCAGCATGGAGCAAAGTGCCATAACATAGGTCTGGGAGAAAAGCCAAATTCTTTCAAAAAGATCTTTCAAGAGTGAGTGATAGCCGAGGGTGGAAACAGTGACCCTGCCTTCAGTTGTCTCCTAATTAGGCTATTACTCACATCCTTGGGCATGGCTGCCTATATAACCACATGGGTCTAGTTCTAGACTCTGAACTCTTGCCAGGTGAGCTCCAGGGGCATTTCTGGTTAGCAACCCCTGTGTCTGTGAAGCTCATGCCAATATAAGCAGGAGCTAGGAACTGCTTTCTCATCTCTGGGCAACAGAATGCCCCAACCCTCCTCTCCTCTCACTAGGGAGCAGAGAAATAGGGAAACAATTTTCTGGCCCATCACCATGGCTCCTTGGCATTTATTCTGGAGTCTGTATTTCCAGCCATAGCAGACTCCAAGGGGACTAGGAAGGAGACACCTGTGCTCCATCTTTGTGCCCAGGAATGTGCTGATAGGGCAACACCATCGTGCCCCCTGGAGGCTGTGAGCTGTTGTTAATGCTCAGATATCCAAGCAGACGATTTGCAAATGGGCCTAGTTCAGGCTAATGCCCCTGTTCTTGAAGGGTCCAGCCAGGACATTTAGAAAGGCAATTAAGGGGATTGAGCCTGAAAAGGCTGTCATTCCAAGACAATCTGAAGGTCTGGCAGTTTGTTTTCTTCCTAGAGTGTGTGGGAAAACATTAATATTTTAGGTTCCAGCTAAATATTTACAGATGGATAAAGTCTTTTTCTAGAAACCTATCTGACAATGTATTACTGCCCTCAACAAATATTTATCAAGTTTCTGATAGTGTCAGATACTCTGGGGTGCAGGGGACAGAGCGGATGCTGCTGCTACTTCTGGCATTTATATACCACACTGTGCAAAGCAGAAGGAACAAAAGTATACAAACGAATACATGATTTCAGATGGAGTAGCTATAAGAAAGTTAAAACAAGGAAAGAGGTGAATTCCTTCAGAACAGGGGAATCAGGAGAGGTCTCTTTATATAGATGATATTTGTTACTCGAATATCAAGACAACTGGGTGCTATAGTCAGCTTCACCTCCCTCCTCCAAAAGATAGTTGAAGTTGGATTAGAGGGAGGAGCCCCTGGGCATTCTCTGGGCCCAAGGCCCACAGTCCTCCCACCACATCCGTCCCTGTATAGCACATAGAGCTCCAGTAGCATCAAAAAAGCCAAAAATGTATGATCGAGGGACGTGCCTGGGCTGTGTCACGCTCACCAAATCTGGCAGGAACCCAGTAGCTAATAAAAACAAAACAAAACACAAAAACCTTAGGAATAAAATAAGAAACAGAATATCCTTCCCTAGTGATCACCAGAGACTAGCAGTATAATTTTAATTAACCCAGCTTTGTTAGGAGGTAAATTTATTTCACAGTCTAGAAAATGCCCAGCTCATGGATTACTGTTTTTGACTTCATTACACGTAGTGAAGTATGATGCAGCTTTCAAAATGGAAAGAAAATTAGTGTTTTTTCCACTAACTTTTTAAAGCCCCCTTGTACTTATAAACTATGGGATTTCTTTCATACATCACAGCAGAAGGAAAGAACAAAGGATTCTGCTCTATCATTTCAAAGTGGGATGTACCTTTTAATGAGAAAGCCATATTCATAAATGCTGATGGAATTCTCTCAGCAGGGTCTTAAACACTGAATCAGAATATGACTAAATGCTGAAATTTTCAACTTAGAGTAATAAATAATTTCCAGATTTAGACTCCTTTGGCCCACACACTTCATGCTAATAGCTCAACAGCCACCTGTGTATATGGTTATCTCTTCTGGCTGGCTGGGCAGGGTCTAGAAGAAGCCTTTGAATGGTTGAGCTCCTCCCTATGCCTTCCTTCTAAACAAGGAAAACCAGCAGGATACTGGCAGAAGGCAGGATTGGCAGATGTGCAGTGAGGCTCAACAGAGAGGAGAAGTGAGGGCAGCCTGAGACAGAGCCCAAGTCTAAACTTTGCCCTGCCAGAAGGTCCCTGTGACTGCAGGTAGTTCCTGACTAAAGATCACAGGAAGGCCCTTGCTTTGTATATAAAACTGGAATTCCAGCCAAAGGTGTTACAGACAAATTCAATTCCTATCGAGTTTTGTGGGATACACACCTCCTGGGAATAATGAATATAAAAATAAGAAGTAAAGAACCATCAGTTTCTAGAATGGTCCACTCAGACCTCAATGTCATTTTCTATGATGCTGTTGTTAAGAGCCATTGAGTTAGTATAGGGTTTCTGAGGAGCAGCTGGTGAACTCCAACCACTGACTTTGCAATTCAAATGACCTTGTAGTCCAGTGCATTAACCCACAGCACCATACCAGGACATATTTAATATGGTAGCTTGAAAATAAGAAAATTCTGGAAATCTTCCATCCCATGAGAATTTTCACTTTTATACAATAAAGGAAAAGAAAAAAAGCCTTTTGAGCTGGGTGTTGTTTGTTCAAATTCATCATGTAAGAAGTCTAAGGAGTGAAAAAGATGGTATACATCTTATCTGAATTCTTTAAGTGAACTGATGGGAAATTATTTCAATGAACTTAATGGAAGAGAAAATATTACTTTAAAATGAACATATCTTTATTTTTTATTGAAAAACACAAAGATGTTTTAAAAATACAAAAACTTAAGAAAATGAAAAGACAATCTCCTATAATAAGTTGATTGCTCCCAGAAATTATACAGGATACACACATTATGATTAACTTTAAAAGTGGCTGAAAGATAGACTGGAAAAAACAGGAAGAAAAATGGAAGCTGGTTTATCAACAGCAGTGCTCTGGGTTTTTATCTAGTACCTGTCACTTTTCTTCTGTTGAGCCTCTAACACTTTCCATTCCTCTGTTCATAAAAAGACCATCTTTGTATGTTTTATAATGTATTCATTGACCAAAAATGCAAACACTCTGACAGCATAACTGGATCAAAGAAATGAGAAAAAGAAGGAAGGAAGAAAAGAAAAACAGAACAAAGAAAAAACAAACCTGAGGCCCAGAGATGTAGTGGTAATGGAGAGGAAACATTCTGAAGACCAAATGTATGTGAAGACCAAAAGGAGCTCTGTTGCTACAGCAGTGACTTTACAAGAGCCCTTTTGTACAAGATATTACCCCTTTTCTCTAAGCATAGCTGCCCTGCTCTTGATGTACTACAACCAGGCTACTGCCCCAGCTTACATCACCTTTGTCTTTACACTTTCCTTTCAATAAATTAGGGTGTACTTATCTCACAGGGCCCTTGTCATGGGCAATAACTGGTAAAGAGAGCATCAAGTCTGTCTCCCTCCACTATGGCTCCACCCATCAGGGGCTCAAACCTTAAGGGTCCCAAGCAGATTAAGGGGCTTTTTTGTTGGCCAGTACAATAGCTTTGCAATATGTCCCTCCAACTGAGACCAATAAACCATCTGCTGAAATCACTGCATGCTGGTCAGAAGTCATTATCACTGCTATCAAAAGCCAAGTCATAGAGTACAGTCTTCCTTGTCTCCTTGTACACAGGGGACTCTGAACTTTCAAGGTTGAGGTTGCTGAACCAGCTCATCTGGTGGTCCCCCTGAGAGCTGCTAGAAAGCAGCCTGCTGTTTTGGGAAGGTTGCCTAACAAGCCTCAAGAGTCTTCCCTGCCCTGCCCTTGCTGTTTTACTGGGCCCTCCCAGAGTAGAGCAGATTGGTTTTGTGGGGCTCCTGGAAGCCTGCAGATGCAGAGGTTGCTGATGGGATTTTTGCTGCTCCAGAGTGGCTTTGTGTGAGCCAGAAATTGGAGACAGAGGGGCCTGGGTTTTAGGATTGACAGCATAGGTCTTGCTGGGGGTTTGTTCTCGCTTCCTGGTAAGAAGCCTGCCTCTGTTGGCTTTCCTAGGCTGCTGCTTCTTGCCTTTTTTCCCTCTTCCTACAATCTTGCCTTTTGGTTCAGTTACCAAACTTTGTTCACATGGATCACATGAAAACACATCTTTGCCTTGATATTCTTGGCAGGAATTCTTAATGCTGGCTGCACAGTTGCTTAAACCTAAGGATATGAGTGAGGCTCCCTGACAGACCAGGTCCCTATAGCCAGGACCCTTGTGGCCTAGGATGCTGGAGCCATGGTTAGTAATATCACAGTGCTCACAGTTAGTCTGTACCTCCTTATCTTGTACATGCTTGCTTTCTTTACTGGGCCCAACTGCTGACAGCATGGACTCTTTCTGGAGGGCATCACTCTTTGCTCTCTCACCCCACTCACTAAATTGTCTGGGCCTCAGGGAGCCCACCCTGCCATTCCATGTAACAGGGAGGGGCTGAGCCTGCCACACACCTGGTTCCTTAGAGACTGATTCTTCCTGTATGGTGAAACTGAGGTTCTGGGCTAGAGCTGGTGAAGTCTGGGAAGTGCTGTCTTTTACATGCTCATGAACCTGAGACACCGAGAGAAATTTCTTCAGATCTGCTAGGACACTGGATGCATTCAACTGGCCTAGCTGCTCACACAGCTGCTGGAAGTCCTGGCTCTGCTGGGCAACTAAGGCTTCAAGGTGTTTCAGGTTAGACTTCATTTCTACAAACTCTCCTTGTCTCTGGGGAAAAGGCAGTAGGAAAGATGAGTGATACACTGTGCAACAACTCAGAATGCACACTAAACTGTGAGAATAAACCAAAGGATGAGCCAATAAAACCAAGACTCACCCATGCTAGCTACTCCATGGGGAGGCATGGCAGCCCATATCATACCAGAACCATGGGGAGGAAGCCAGCCTCTATCTACCCAGGCCCATTTACCAAGAGTTTATGCTGGATTCTGATCTTGGCTGAGAATCTGAAACTTTAAAGATATCTTCCAGGGTCTTAATGACAAAGTTAAAAAAATCAGGAAAGAGGCTGGGGCCCACACTTACAGCTTCAAATGTCTTTTGCATCTCGAGGATGATCTGCTCCATGCTGCCTTTGTCCTGCACAACTTCAAGTACCAGGTCACTCCGGGCATGCACAGTCTCTTGCACTAAATACAGAAAAATGACAGTTCACCTCATGAAGACTATAGGATGCCATATCTGCCCAGGCCACAGTGGTGGAGTGGGAGGAGTTGAATCCCAAAGCAAACAATCTTACCCTGCCCTGCTAGTACCCAGGACTCTGTCCTCCCAGATCAGCCTTGGAGGAGAGTGGAAGCCAGAGCATGGTGGTTCCTCCATACTCTCTTCTTCCTTTCCTCCCTGACAAGATCCTGGCTAGGGCAGACCCAACCTTGTGTAACCTGCTGAAGACCTTGGGAACTTTCTGCCTAGATAGTAACACCAATCTTCTCCTAGGCCTTCCCTCTAGGCCCTGTTATCTGAGTGATTTCTACGATATGTGGATATGATCATATACCCTTTGAAACATTTACTGAAACCTTTTATGGTATCCCACTGGCCAAAGGATAATAAAATACTATCATTTCAAGAGGTAGCATATTATCAAGAGCCAATGAACCAGAAGGAGGAGTTGAAGGTGCATTGAAGGCATTGGCAAAAAACAAGGCCCTGGGAATTGATGGAATAAAAATTGAAATCTTTCAAGAAAATAAGGTGGCAATGGAGCACTCACTCATCTATGCCAAGAAATTTGGAAGACAACTATCTTGTCTTCCAAATTTCTTGGCATAGATGAATGATTGATTGAAAGAGATCCATATTTGTGTCCATTCCAAAGAGAGGTGACCTAAAGGAATGCGGAAATCATTGGACAATCTCTTTGATATTCCATGTGAGTAAAGTTTTAAGGTAATACAGAAACAGCTGCAACCACACATTGACAGAGAACTTCCCAGAGTTTCAAGCCGGATTCAGAAGAGGACGTGGAATGAGTGATTATCATTGCTGATGTCAGATGGATCTTGGCTGAAAGCAAAAAACACCAGAAAGATGTTTACCTGTGCTTTATTGATTATGCAAAGACTTTCAATTGTGTGGATCATGACAAGTTATGGACTTGTATGAGCAAAGTATACTCATACTGTGTATTCTGGAACACTTAACTGTGCTCATGAGAAATATGTACATAGACCAAAAGGCACTTGTTCAAGAGAGGGACTTCCAGCGCTTCCCTGACCAGGCAGCTCAGGTAGGGCAGTCTCCGGGGAAATGTGACGGAATCACACATAGGAAACCTCTGTCTAGCACACAGACAGCCCTTGAACAAACATAAGATCTTATATTTCAACATTCTGAAATCATTTTTTTAAAAGATCAAATTGCTGAGTAATTAGAGGCATTTTGAGCTTTTGCCTGCCTGCCTGTGGCTACCGTGCCTGCGCCAGCAAGTGCCTTTGCCCCCTGCAGACCTTGGAATGCAGGGCTAGAGCAACCCGACTTAGAAGGCTGCATTTCCAGAGAAAAGGAAGCATGAACTAACAAAGCCGAACAAATAGAGAGGGATATCAGGAATTTCGAGGTACCCACGGTACAGAGAGAATGAGAGAGGCATTTTTTACGTCATCAAATACAGACACAACCTCCCAGCAGGCACTACCCCCAGCCCTCTACTGCCCCGGCCTAGACCAGCCCACTGAGGCCAAGGCCATCCCAAGGCCCAGACACTCCCACTGAGGCCAAGGCCTGCCCTGAGACCCAACCCGCCCACAGATTGGTCACAAAGGCCCAGGCCCAACCAAGGCCCAAATCGCCTACCCGCCTCACGGCCCAGGTGGCCCACAGCCCAGTGGCCCCCGAGGTCCAGGGCCCCCAAGGCCCAATCCGCCGTCCGGTCCCCGAGGCACAGGCCTCCCGAGCCCCAATCCGCCCAACCCGCCCACTGAGACCCAAGCCGTCTGATAACCAGCTGCTGATACCCAGGCCCCCTGAAGCCAAAACGGCCCGCCCAAGGCCCAAACCACCCGCCCAAGGCCCAAGCCAGCCAAACTGAGAGACCCAAGCCAACAAACTGAGAGACTCTGGGAGGGCAGTCTACGACCAAAACAAGTACAATGCAAAAGAAGGTGAACACGTAGGAA